GCTTCAGAGCCGTGTGGGGCAGAAGGCCTGAATCCGAACGATGGTGAATCTGAAGATCCCGCCGTGCTCCCACAGCCGCACCTCAGCCACAGAGCTGCTCACAGAACAGCCTGTCTTCTTCTCTCTGTTTTAATTCTACTCTGCTGCCTCCTGTTTGTCCTGCACTTGCATGGTGTGCCGAGGTCCTGGCGTTTCCAGCGTTGTTTTGGTGCACCATCAAACCTGTGGTATGACGTCACACACAGCCGCCCAACCTAAATAACCAAAGGAACATTTCCTCCATTCTCCTCCACAGCGACAGCAATAAACACTGAAAACAAACTTCCAAAGGCTACAGTCTACACTTTATGACGTGTCACTTTCATCAGCACTAATGGGATCAAATCATACTTAATCATGTCTAAAGGGCCCATACCTTACATTACATGTCAGCCTCCAGTCCTCGCAGGCCAAAACACAGCATGCTGCCTCATTAAACACACCTGACTCAGCTCATCAGCTACTCAGCAAGGCTTTCATGGACTGAATCCAGAACAATTAGATGAGGGTAAACACTAATATCCATAGCACTTTGGCCCAAAGGGGTCCCCAGTTTGATGCGTGCCTTTTGTTTTCTTGCATTTTATTTTTACCACTGTAGTCCACCAAAAACACACATAATTCATTTTTACTCTTTTACAAACTTTCTTTATCTCTTAGAACTAAACAGTCTGTTTCGGACCAAAAGCGCATATCTCCATTTTTGTAATTTTTCAGTTTTTGACATAATTTAAAAATGCCTGTTGCTCTTTACATTGTGTGTAAATTTCATGATGAATGGACCAAAAGAAACGACCTAAAATGACTTTGAAAAAAGTCTGGTTCCATTGACTGACATTAAAAGTAAAGTAGGTTTTTTCCTTCTCCTGTAAAGTTACCATTTTGGAGATACGAGGTTTTGTTCTGACAGCAGCGATATGTAAAGGAGCTCTGTTCTGATTGGCTGTCCTGTATTGTGCCTCATTCAAAAGCAGCCTGGGCTTAACTGTAGTGTGAATGTGGGGACTAGTTTCTGTAAATGGACTGTGTACTCTGGAGAGTGAATGGTACGTTTTAAACGATGTTTAACAATGTTCACAACCAACACCAAAATCTTTTATTTTAGAAACGTTATGGAAATGTGATTTTCTATATAACAGACCCTTTAATTACATGGATAAAAAATGCAAAATTGATCCTAGATCAGTGTATATTTGTCTCCTGACCACAGTTTTCTGTATATTCTGTTTACCTATAAAGAAGTCAGACTGTGATGCATATATTTTAGTCTTATTCAACTTTTATTACACTATTATTTATAGGCTTTATTCTATTCATTATTATTATCATTGTCAGCTTAGGCATCAAATACTGGGAGTCACAAACTGAATCTCATTGTAATAAAGGTATTATGTTCTTTTCTGTGTTTACTCTCAGAGCTTTGCTGAATGCTTATCCCGTATCTTTGTTGTTGTTTCATTCATTCTTTTTAATAACTGTAATTTAGCTATTATTATAAAGCTGTTTTTGAATAGTTTTGTCATTTTAAGAGAGCTTTAGCAGAAAAAAGACTACTACTACTAATAATACTAACAGATGGACAACAATAGAAATAAAATATTTTTATAGCTCATGCAGAAACTTGTTCTGAGACACGACTGTGCGTTCGATTGTTGAAGACAATTACAAGATTAATGAGGAAAGTGATTGCTTGCTGTAAAAGGGGAATTCCACCAATTTTTCAAAATTGACTTAATGTGAAATTTTTTTGTAGAGAAACTTGCAAATCCTTGATAACAGTCATGGATATATCTGCCGTATCTCTTTTTATAAGTATATATATACATATATGTATGTTTTAAAGCTTTGTTTCTTTTTTTTCCTTTTCTTTTGTCATGTCTGTAAAACTTGGACCTGGTGTCAGGAGTCATCTGGTGCAAATAGAAGTTGTCCTAGATATACAGCATGTAACTGTAATATACTTGTAATGGCTATGAATAATGAAAATACCAATATTTATTAAAAACTATTCTTTTTAAATTTGCTAATCGTCCCAGTTTATGTGATAATATTTCATCTATCGTACAAAAAGCAGTAGATTTACCAGCTTGTTGAACTTTCAATCTAGTCAGTATTTCAGTAATGCCTTATTTCCTATGCTCTTGAAATGTGCATTGATAAGTCATGTTCTCCTTCCACTCTGTACGTCTTCATGAACAGTAAACGTGTACTGTGTTCCTGGAGTATGTACATTTGTAATTATGCACTTAATATGGGTTAGAGTACATTATACAGTACATCTTCTCATAAAAATTGTCTTTCTTACCAAAACAACAACAACAACAACAACAACAACAATAATAATAATAATAACAGTAATAATAAATAATATAATTATTTACAGAGCACTTTGCACACATCTCAAATTGCTTTACAGTGAAATAGTAATACAAAAATCATACAAAATAAAAATAGTAATAAAAATACAATAAAACCCAGCAATAATTAAGATGAATTGTCATTTAAGTAGAAGCAGAATTAAAAATATGCCTTGGTGCAGCGTTACACACTGTGGTGTTCCCTCAGGCAGCTTCATGAAGAGCCTCCTGAGATGGTTTTCTAACAGGACTGAAGAACATACCCATACTCTACCAACTCATCAAAAGTTTGGACACACTTAACGGAATACACATCACAATGTTCATAATATCCAAAATCACCAGTGAACCTACACGAGTCTTCTGAGTTTATATGGAATGTTGATGATGGAAAATAGTGTAAAATCTGAAATAATAAGTTTTCTTTGGGGACTATTTTCTCTGACAACACTCTGCATGCATGAATGTAAATGATTTAAAAATATGTATTAGGCCAAAATCTCAAAACTGACATAAAACATTGTCTCAGGCGGTGAAGTCACCCTTTCCTGTAATCATATTCTGTGAGGGAGCTTTTAGAGGTGGACGTCTGGTTCCTATCACCACCACTGTGAACAATTCTGACTCGGTAAGTTTCTCTAGAACAGAGCGTTTCACACCAATCCGTTCTAAACGACTCTGTTTACATCTTAACTGTTTGATTATGGAGAAATTTTTGGAAAATCAGAGGAATTCCCCTTTATTCTAGCCTTATGTAGCCTCAGTATCTAAATATCCACACACGCAGGTTGAATGGACTGGCTAACTACCCCTTCTGCACAAATCTTGTACTTTCATTTCTTTATTTCTTTGCTTCTTGTTTAAATAACTTTGTTTTTTTGTTTTTTTTTATGCACCCCCATCTCTCTAACGAGCCTTAACACTCTTTCCCGAATGTTATCATTATGCTTTGTTCTGGGGGCAGCAGCATTTGTGTGATTGACCAATGGTCGCACACTGAGAATGCAGTGGGCAACTAATGTGTCTAGATATGTGCGCTCCAGTATTCGCCTAGCGCATGCTGTTTGTCCTGGGCGGTCTCCACCCATTTTAGATGGGACTACATTAGAAACAACCATGCATTTCTCTCTTTCTCACTCTCTCAGCGGCCCACACACATAGTAGCTCACCGGGAACTGGCCCAGTCCTGCCAATGGCCAGTCCATTCCTGCATGAAATGGCTATGAATACACTACCTGATGTCTGAGACGTTGTTTTATGATAGTTTTGAGAAGGTTTTGGGCTCAAAATCCACGCAGGATGGAGGGATACATGACATGCAGGATGTTGTGAGGGAAAATAGTCCTCAAGGAAGTCCTCAAGGATTTTCCACTATTTTCCATCTTCAACATTCCATATAAACTCAGAAGACTTGTGTAGGTTCACTGGTGGTTCTGGATAGTAAATAAAATGTCTATATTTGTGTTGTAGTCATGGCGACCCCTGGTTCCTATCACCACCACTGTAAAGAGATATGAGTCTCTACAATCAACCATTTCACATACACCCATCAGCCATAACATTAAAACCACCTCCTTGTTTCTACGCTCATGGTCCATTTTATCAGCTCCACTGACCGTATAGTTTCACTCTGCAGTTCTACAGTTACAGACTGTAGTCCATCTGTTTCTCTGCATATTTTGTTAGCCCCCTTTTACCCTGTTCTTCAGTGGTCAGGACCCCCATCGACCCTCACAGAGCAGGTACTATTTGGGTGGTGGATCATTCTCAGCACTGCAGTGGTGGTGGTGTGTTAGTGTGTGTTGTGCTTGTGCGAGTGGATCAGACTAGAGTTTTTAAACACTGTGTCCACTCACTGTCCACTCTATTAGACACTCCTACCTTGTCAGTCCACCTTGTAGATGTAAAGTCAGAGACGATAGCTCATCTGCTGCTGCACAGTTTGTGTTGGTCATCCTCTAGTCCTTCATCAGTGGTCACAGGACGCTGCCCACAAGACGGTGTCGGTTGGATGTTTTTGGATCTCAGTCCAGCAGTGACACTGAGGTGTTTAAAAACTCCAGCAGCACTGCTGTGTCTGATCCACTCAGACCAGCGCAACACACACTAACACACCACCACCACGTCAGTGTTACTGCAGCGCTGAGAATGATCCACCACCCAAATAGTACCTGCTCTGTGAGGGTCCATGGGGGTCCTGACCACTGAAGAACAGGGTAAAAGGGGGCTAACAAAGTATGCAGAGAAACAGATGGACTACAGTCTGTAACTGTAGAACTACAGAGTGAAACTATATGGTCAGTGAATGGTTTTAATGCTATGTTTGATGGGTGTATCTGTCTTACAAACAAATGTTAAGCATATTCAATCCAAACTCTGTACTGCTTACTGTACATCAGCCTAAATTAGTTTACTTCCGTTGAGTCAGCTTGGCCTCTATAGGTGAAGGGCAGTTATAAGAGGACACGGCCATCTATAAAAGCTAAATATGAAAGCAGGATCATCGCTAATTGACTTTCAGACTCCGTCTGCTGACGTAGAGCCTCGCGGAGCTGCAGGCTTCATAAAGGCAGCAGCAGCGCTGGAGCTCCTCACTCACTCCTCCATCCAGGACAGGACGGGACACACTTTGAGCTTTTCTCCAAAAGAGCACCTACAGACACTCAGGGTGGGTTCTCTTCCCTTCTCTCGCCTTTAACTCTATCCTCAGATGGAGGGATTGTGGGAGTTCGTGAGTTATTTCTGCTGTTTTTCCTCTTTACAGATGCAGAAGTGCGTTGGCGGAGTCTGTGTGTCCCTCATTCTGTGCGCTGTCCTCTCGGAGACTCTGGGCATGGTCATAGCGGTATGTGAGAGATTCACTTTCCATCGAATATTCACTATCCATTTCGAATTTTCCGTTCCACCTTAAATGGCAAGTGCAGGTGCACTCTGGCGCTAACTGCTGCACCATTTAAGGTGGAACGGAAAATTTGAAAAACAAGCTCCATGCGCACTTAAAATAAGTTTATACCTTAACAAACAACTAAATAGCTGTGTTAAAATAACTCTGAATTGTGTACTTAGCTGCTGAAAAAGAACCACTGGAAACCAGTAGCATTAAAACCTAATTGGGAATTGGCTAAATGGTTAGCATTAGAGACCACCAGTTTCCTGTAGAACACCTTTAGATCCCATTAAGAAACCATCAGATGCATTTAGAATCAGCCTTTGGTCACCTGGGAAGCCTTTAGGGTCCTTTACATCGTGATTTCAATCCATCAAAAAAGTCAAAACACATTATAAAACTCAGGAACCAACAGGCACACTTAATGGTTTCTATGGTTTTTTTCAGCAGGGCTTTTCCATTCTGTTGGGTTTTGTGATGGTAACTGGTAGTAACTACTCTTATAAAAGATGGTTCTTTAGGGGTTCTTTAGTAAAGAAAATGGTTCTACATAGAACCGTGAACACGCAAAGAACCCTTTGCATGTTTAAAGAGTTTTTTGCATCATGGAAAGTTTCTTGTGTTGTATATGGTTCTATATAGAACCTCTTTGAAAAGGGTTGACATCGATAGAATAGAAGGAGAACGCTTTTTGGGGCTGTATAGATTTACAAAATGGTTCTACAACACATTCTCCATCAATCTGAAGAACCATTCCACCAAGGAACCATTTAATCATGCAAAAGGTTCTTTGAGTATTCATGGTTCTATACAGAACCATTTCCTTTGTTGAAAAACTCTTAAAGAACCATCAGTTTTAAGAGTGTAGGCTTAAAAAGGTTTTAGCTCCTGATTAATCGTTGATAACTTGGTGCTGGATCTTCATCACGCAGCATTAAAACACCTCTTCCACACAAACAGAGACTTTCATTAGTCAGAGGTGGGCGATATGGCTAAAGCAGAATATCATGATACTTCGATACACGATATGAATTAGGATATTTAGGTTTACTGGGGTTTGCTAACAGAAGTGCCACAATTAAAGAATGACCTGCTCACCAGTGACCAAAAATCAGAAGTTCTTTACAGTCAGGAGTTCAAAAAGTAATAATTTTTTTTTTCTCTTATAGAAATAAAAAAGGCATTTTTGTATCATGGCTTTGAACGAAAGAGTTATTATAGTTCACTAAAACTAAGACTAAAATTAAAACTAGCAGTGAAAAAATGTGCTCATTAACTGTGATATAAATAAAAAGTACACTTCAAAAACATAAAAACTAAATCAAAGCTATAACGTCTACAGCAGAACTGACTAAAACTATATACTTTTATAAATATAAACTATATAAAACTACATACTTATTTATAAACTATAAATAGAAATACTGAGAGAGGGCCTTTAGTTTTAGTGTTTTCAGTGTGATTGTGCCTATTTGTATCCGTCTGTCTGTCTATCTATCTATCTATCTATTAGTCTGTCTATCTGTATCTATCTGTCTGTCTGTCTGTCTATCTATCTATCTGTCTATTAGTCTGTCTATCTGTATCTATCTGTCTGTCTGTCTATCTATCTCTCCATCTGTCTGTCTGTATATTGATTATCTGTCTATCTATCGGTGTGTCTTACTGTATCTATCTGTATCTGTATGTCTATCTATCTATCTATCAGCATATCTGTATCTGTCTCTCTGTCTGTCTGTCTTTCTGTCTGTATGTCTGTCTATCTGTCTACGTATTGATTTATCTGTCCATCTATCCATCTATCCGTCTGTCTTTCTGTACCTATCTATCTATCTATCTATCTATCTATCTATCTATCTGTTTGTCTTTCTGCCTGTATGTCTGTCTATCTGTCTTATTTATCTGTTTGTCTGTATATTGATTTATCTGTCCATCTGTCAGCCTGTCTATCTATCTGTCAGCCTGTCTATCTATCTATCTATCTATCTATCTATCTGTCTGTGTCTGTCTATCTGTCTGTCTATCTATCTGTCTGTCTTTCTGCCTGTATGTCTGTCTATCTGTCTATTTATCTATCTGTCTTTCTGTATATTGATTTATCTGTCAGTCTGTCTCTCCATCTATCTGTCTCTTCCATTTATATTAGTGTTTTTGATCGCTGTGTCTGTTTTGACCCTCTGATCTGTACGTTTGAATGTTTTCCTGCTCTAATGGATCCATTTAAACCTCACGCTTTAATGATCTATTTATCTATTTGTCTGTGTATTTAAGTATCTATTAAATCCTCTGCTTTTGTTTTTCCTGCTCTGATCCTCCCATTTTAACCTCCTGAAGGGCTTTAATGTGTTGAAGTGGGCGTTAGAGTAGAAAACATTAAAATGTGACGGGTAAACTCTGCTTTATGCTGATCTAAAAGTGATTTGTACTGACCTGTGAGTGCTAACCACCCTGAACCCCCCCCCCACTCACACCTGTCCTCCAGGCGAAGGAGAAGCGCGGCTGGACGCTGAACAGCGCTGGATACCTGCTGGGCCCGCGTAAGTCTCTCTCACATCCACACACACTTTTCTGCTCAGCTTTCTACATTAACATTAACATTCCAGCAGCTTCAGTCAGAGTAAAGCGATCAGTTCACTCCATTACCATGTTTTTGTATTAAGAAGGTCATTCATTTGAACATAGTTGACGTTTTGAACATTTAATTCGACAGCGCATGTTTAAAGGGGCATTCCGACCTAAACTAGAGGTTAATATGTTATTCAGCAAACTGTAGCGCAGCAATGTATCCCTCAGCTTCATCGGTTTGACAGAATTTTATGTTTTTCTACCACAATAGCCCGCCATGCAAATACGTCACATATCCATAGGGAAGGAAAGCGGTCAGAGCGCCCCCTGCTGTTTGCATTCAAAACATAGGTTCACAGTGAATTGGAGGTGATGCAAATTACAGGTTGTACAACATAACATGCTGTGTCCAGGGTTGGGATGTAACAGAATATGTATTTGAAATACAGAAGTTAAGTTTATTATCTGTATTCAGTCCAAGTTACATTTTGAAATGCAGTATTACAGTAAAACAGTTACTTTCTACATTTTTAGGAGAATATATTAGAATACTTACCTACTAAACTAAAAAATGCAATCTTCAGAAGAAACACCATTACTTCTTAACTATTTTAAAAATGACATCTCAGTTAACAGCCTCTTTACAAACACTGACGTTCCTGCTAAAGCCTGAGTAGACTGATAAATCAATGTGATTGGTTATTAATCTCAGCGTTACTGAGCTCTGCTAAAGCCTGAGTAGACTGATAAATTAGTGTGGTGATCAGTTATTAATCTCAGCGTTACTGAGCTTTTTTGAGAGATGCTCAAACTAATCATGCCCTCAGTAGTGGACGTGTTTACAAGTGATAAGTTTAGCATTGGTGTTATACTGGACTCAGCTATGGGAGTAGCTGTGGATTGAAGCAATTAGTGAGAAAAAAAGGTGAGAATTTTGTAACTTCTCATGAAATTTAATAAACATTTTTTTTGGTAATGGAATACATTACTAAACTCATTTAGGACAGTGTATTCAGTGTTCAGCCATTACTACCTTTTGGCCCAACCCATATTCAGTCACATCTGATGTATGACGTATATATTCCTCTATGATAGTGTATTCATAGCTACTATGGATATATGATCATGAAATGTTTTGTTTCACAGAACTTGAGTCTAGGGTTTGGAGAAATGAATGGCAATTTAAAATGTTTTTAATGCAACCAGCAGATGGCGTAGTTCTGCATGCCAACTGCGATAAAGAACTCCACATAAGGACTCTCTTTCTAGCCATAACATTAGCAATCTGGCTTTTTCTGCATTAGCCAGCTAGTCGAAAAAAAGTCAAATAGTCGCCCAAAAGTTCCAAAAATAACTCCCACTTTCAAGATACATCATCAGAAGGTGCTTTTCCCAGTCTTGAAACAGGAAAATCTCACTCTAGATCAGGGGTTTAGTTACATTTCAATAAGGTCCAGTTTGAGAAATGTCCTCAATCAAAGGTCCGGAACATCATAATGTCTAACCTGCATTATGATTCAGTGCCATATACTGTTTACTGAAGTAGCCTAGTAGGTATGTCAACATCTTATACAGTCAACAACTGAATATCAAATCAAATAAAGTACAGTTCAGTAATATTTCAGCAACATTTATTGTCAGTTTTCTGTTTTTAGAGCCGCCATGTGAAATAATCTCCCTCTGACTCACTTTCTTCTCTGACTGCTGTGTCTCGTCTCGTCCCTCCCCTTTGTGTGCGTCACTCACTCGAGTCTCAGTGCTTATTGTAATGCACAGATCTGATTGGCTGAGTAGCATCACATGTGATATGTACAACGCATGCGATAGGTCTGTGAGTCTCCCGGGCCGCTAAAGCTACCGTAAAGGCTAGAAAAGTTTCGCTGATTAAAATAGGACCACCCCATCAAAATGAAATAATTCCCCATAGTTTATCAGTTATAGGTCCAGGTCCGCACAGGACAGCGTCTGGGTCCAGACTCGGACCGCGGTCCACCTATTAGTGACCTCTGCTCTAGATACTCTTCCGGCACCGCTGTCGGAGGAGAGTAAACACGTTTACAGCAGATGTTGCAACAGTTAACCATTTATCGCGGCCGGAAAGCCCCTTTAAAAACGTTATGCTAAATACAGGAAGTGTGCAGATACCATTCTAAGATTTCACTCTTTCTTTAACACATTTTTATTTATTTAGTTCTTTTTCACCTTATATTACACACAGTGAGAGGTGTCTGCCAGTAGTAAGTGAATGTGTGTGTGAAAGGGAGCCTCTACATGCTAATTATGAATTACACACATTTAAGCACACACACATTTGTTAGCCACGCAGGGTGTGCCTGTGTGGCGGAGTTGTGTAAGTTCGGGTAAAATTCCCTCATCCATGTGTTTCAGGTCGTATTGATCATCTAATACAGATAAAGGATGCTCCCAGTGCAAGGGGGAGAGAAGAGCTGCTTGGTGAATGTAAGCTAGCTCCTGCAGGCCGCTCACGTCAACACAGGGAATTGCTCTGTGCTGTATCGCTCTGTGTGTTTGTATTGTCAGCGCAGTATTATTAATACGGCATGGAAATGTCTGCAGAAAGCGAATGAATGACACCTCTAAATGGGGAGACGTACTGTCCTCAGGATTTCTTAAAGAAATAGTTTGACGGGGGCAAAAAATCAAATTTACACAGTTTTCCGTCCTTAACTCAGCTCGCTCGGCTGCTCAGGGACGTGTTTGGTGTCTGAAGTTTGCTTCTTTAGTTTCAGAGCTGGAGCCATGAGGCTAATGTAGCTAACAGTAATGGAGGTTTGTACAAACTTACATTAGCATTATGCTGTGTGCTCTGAGATTAGTGTTTAGCAATGCTAACGTACTTCAGTCCATGTTTATAGAAAACAGTGAGTCAAACAGTGTCAGAAACCACAGCATCAGGACTATTAGAGACACTGAACAGCTCCACACAGTCTGAGGCAGCTGTGGTTTATAGCTTCCATTACCTGTTAGCTACATTAGCCTCATAGCTGCAGTGCTAAAACTAAAGAATCAACTACATTTTACACTCTACACTCTGAGAAAATGGTTCTTCAATAAAGGGAATGGTTCGCTTTAGAACCACGAGCTTTGTATACGACCATTTCATGCTTAAATGGTTCTTTGCGTGGTGAAATGGTTCTTCAGATTGTTTTATATGGTTCTATAAAGAACCCTTTTTGAAAATGGTTTTGTGTAGCACCAAAAGGGGTTCTTCTATTGCTGCAAACTTGACATCAAACAAAAGAAGAACACTGTTTGGTGCTATAGAACCATTTTTTAAAAAAGGTTTCTCCACACTCTCCAACAATCTGAAGAACCATTTCACAATGCAAAGAGCCATTTAACTTAACTTGTGGTTCTAAATAGAACTATTCCCTTTACTAAAGAACCACATAGATTTAATGTTATAATATTTAATATTATAATACTTTCAACACTAAAAGGTGTCGAAAAGGTTTGAGTTGAAATTTAACATGACTAGCAGCTCCAGCTGGGGTAACACTATTAGTATTTATTTTAAAGAGTTTAGCCGCATTTTCATCTACAAATTTCAAGCCATTTATGATCCCTGAACTGGGTTTAGTATCGTGCAGTAATAGAGAACTATTTTTAAAATGTCTTATAATTTCAGTATCAAATGTGACTGAACTGCTCATCCCTTGCTTGTAGTGCTTTAATTAAAGAAGCGAACTTCAGACCCCAAACGTGTCTCAGCTGATCAACAGCGTTTGAGGTAAGGGGCGAAAAGTGTAAATTAGATTTTTTACCAAACTATTGCTTTAAATGGTTAAGCTAAGATAACATTATATGGAAGTACATCTCAATAATAATAATAATAATAATAACAATAATAATAATAATAACAAAAATAATGAGAGGTTAAACCTTTATAAATCTAACTGAATTCTGAACAATTAGATTCAAGCCCTCTTGTGAATGTACTGGAGTACATAATGGTGCAGAAGAGGCCCTTACAGCCGGAGTGATTGTGTATAAGCAGCCCTTCAGGAAACAAGCTCTTTCTCCTCCAGCTTCCTTCTGCCTGTGTGTGTGTGTGGCTGTTTTTGGCTGTGCTGTGAGATCCCACCGTCATTATCTACCTCCCTCCGCAGGTCGCTCCCTCTTTCTGTCTCTGAACATGACTCTGTGCTCTTCTGCCTTTGTGCCTTTGCAAAACTGGTGAAAACGCAAAACAAACTCAAAGCAATTCCATGACTGAAGCCCTGCAGGTTGCTCCTCTGTCCAGAGCAGGTGCATACGCTCAGGATGATGCACCTCAGTCGGGGCAAATGGGTGCTAAAACCTCCTGCAGCTCCTGTTGCACGCGACAGGGCTGCAGTGTATGTGTGTGAAATGCTCTAATACACCTGTGTGCAGATAAACTGGATTATTTTGTGGTTGTGCTTTGTGATCAGATGCCATTGACAGCCACAGGACGCTCAGCGACAAGCACGGCCTGGCAGGGAAGAGGGACATGGAGGACGACTTCAAATCAGGTACAGTCTCTCAGTCTCAGACGGTCGGTGGTGCCTGATGAGAAAAAACGCACACTTATTATAATATTGAAATAATAAAAATTATAATGGATACTTAGGAAGTAGCAGTGATGCTAATCCTACTGCCCACAACTTTTCAGCTTTAGAACTATGTAAATATACTGGTAAACTCCTCTTAAACTGGCTCTGACAACAACACACCCACTCATATCATACTGGAATGCATATACTTTTATATATTATATAAAAATATTATTTCTATATGGATCATTCTGCTAAACTGGTTCAGAGTCAGAGCTGAAACACATTTGGGATTTTTAACCGATCTTGGACTTTAGACTGAAATCGTTTTGCTTTGAGTGACTCTAAACCTTAATTATGTTTATTTTATTAAAACTAATCATTGAACGTTCCATTTTGTCTCTACTGAAACAACCATAACACTTTACCACTGTGTTTCAGTAATGACAATTTTAGCTCATTTTGAGCTCAAATGACCTGCAAACACAGCTTTGGTCAGCTGTTCACACAGAAAATCATCACATTTTTCATTAAAACACTAAAAAATGCAGAAAATATGACGATTCTTAATGTTCCACACTGATTTTCAGACTGTGGGACACATTTACTTCAAAACAATGGGATCTAACTGCTCACCATGTGGCCATGAGGGACAGGGATGCAGCCTCACTTCCTGCTCTGAAATGCAGGGGCGTGGTTAAAATAAGGCTCCGCCTACAGACTAAAACTGTATTTTGGTAGTGACATGAAAATGTGGGACAGCATTTTTTGAATACATTTTTTTTATTCAAAAATTAAACTGTTACCTCTGTCAACTTCACTTTAAAAGAATGCATTTATAAAAATACAAAAAAGTAAGAATTATTTTCTGAAGTGTAAATTTAGACAGCTCCCAGTAGAAAGTACCCTATAAATAATGATTTTGTATATATTTAGCTTAGAAGTATCTCTATTAATGTCATCAGTCAAAACATAACCCCTGTAAATATCTAAGCTCTGAATACTTCGTTGTTTTTCTGTGGGACCATGTATCTAACATGTATTTCATACATAGCTGCCTATTTCTTATATATTAAACCTAAATAAGCCTTTGTTGCTTTCAGGTTTCAAAATTCAGATAATAATGTTCAACAATAATCACACGATAATTCTCTCTACTTTCAAAGGAACCCTGAGGATAACAGATGAAGATGTTGTCCACACCATCATAGACTTTCTATCATATCTCAAACTGAAAGGTGAGCAGAGGGATTCAAATCTCTCACAAGTCCAAACAAAGAGGTCCAAGTACCATCCTGCATTATATATGTATGCTGTTGGAAGAAAACCTCGTATCTCCAAAATGGTAACTTTACAGGAGAAGGAAAAAACATACTTTACTTTTAATGTAAGTCAATGGAACCAGAATTTTTTCCAAGTCATTTTGGGTTGTTTCTTTTAGTCCATTCATCATGAAATATACATACAACGTAAAGGACAACAGGCGTTTTCAAATTATGTCAAAAACTGAAAAACGACAAAAATGGAGATATAAGGTTTTGTTTCCGACAACAGCGATCTGTATGTGTACACACACGTTTATATAGAACCATGAACACTTGCATGCTTAAATGGTTCTTTGCATGGCGAAATTGTTCTTCAGATTGATGGAGAATGTGTTGTATAAGGTTCCATATAGAACCTTTTTTGAAAAGGGTTCTATATAGCCCCAAAAAGGGTTCTGCTATTGTTACGATGTCAGGCTTGTGTACAATAGAAGAACCCTCTTTGGTGCTATATTGGACTACGTGCCATAAATATTCCATCAGTTTGAAAAACAATTTCACTGTGCAGGGAACCATTTAATTGTGCATTTGGTTCTTTGAGTGTTCATGGTTCTAGATAGAACCATTGTCTTTACGAAAGAACCCTTGAAGAACCATTTTTTAGGAGTGTACATATATCGCACTGAACTCAATTAGTCTGGCATTGTCTTTGCAGAAACGTTGAAAATTTTAAAAGGTATTTGTGAACTGTTTTGTGCTGAACTGAATTAATGTGGCATTTTAAAATATTTATTTTATTTTATTTATTTATTTTCAGAAATGGGGGCCCTGGATAATCTGCCTTCCTCTCTCACATCAGAGGAGTTGAGTCAGCCTTAACTCGGACCAAACCTCAGATTTCTCAGAACACTGACCTCCGACCTTCTGACCACCGAGCTCTCCCGAACAGGCACTGTTTTTGTTCCACGTCTTCATCACTGTAGCGTTCGCTTGAGTCTCGACACATGAGCTGAGTCCTGAAGAGTTACTTGAATGGCTGAGTTGAAGAATGTGTCACGAATAAAAGTTGTAAATGGCTTTCGATTCACTCTGTTTCATGATATTATGGTTTCATATTCATATTCAATTTCTATTCATGAGCTGAGAATGACATTTGACTGCTTTTCAGTTATTTATTTCAAGCTAATATAGGAATATATAAAGAAAACATGTTTGGAGGTCAGATTATGACATTCTTACGTGTCACATACTGGCTTATTCAGGTGAAACAGGTGCATACATGAATAATTAACCATCCAGTCTGCCTTTCCAGGTCTTAGCTCACCAGTGGTCATTCAGGATTATCCAGAACTGAGTCATCCATATACACACACACACACACCAACACACACACACAGTCACTACCTTAAAGACACATTTCTCCATTTTTTTCAATATGTCTACATAATTAACTGGTTAAGATGTAAACAGAGTCATTCAGAGTGGTTTGGTGTGAAACGCTCTGTTCTAGATAAACTTCCCGAGTCAGAACTGTTCACAGTGGTGGTGACAGGAACCAGACGTCCACCTCTAAAAGCTCCCTCACAGAAAGTTCCTACATGAAATGGTTATGAATTCACTGCCTGATGACTGAGACACTGTTTTATGATAGTTTTGAGAAGATCTTGCCTTAAACTCCATTCATGGTGGAGGGATACATGATATGCAGGGTGTTGTGAGGCAAAATAGTTCCCAAAGAAAATTTATTATTTCAGATTTTCCACTATTTTCCATCATCAACATTCCATATAAACTCAGAAGACTCGTGTAGGTTCACTGGTGGTTCTGGATAGTAAATAAAATGTCTATATTTGTGTTGTAGTCATGGCGACCCCTGGTTCCTATCACCACCACTGTGAAGACATCTGAACCATTTCACACCAAACCACTCTGAGTCACTCTGTTTACATCTCAGTCTCTAATGATCAAAACTAAACATCTGGGTGCAGCCTAACAGAGTAAAGTGGGTGGGGAGGGGGCTGGGCTTATGCTATGGACACACCCCCTCTCAAATGACACACTGGGCTTTTATTCTGAAGACTTTATAAATTGTAGTGCTTGTGATTTTTGGGGTTTGTTTTGTCAGAGGGCAGTAATCAGAGGCTGAAACTCTTTTGCTGGAGAACTTTTATTAATCTGAACCAAACCGACCTGTTTAGAACAGAATTAGAGCTACAGAACAGAGAAAATATTCTAAATTGAATTGAATCAAACCTGAAAATGTATATCATTAAACCTCTTATTGTGATAAATGAGCCTGGGCACAGAATAAACATGAACGCTTTATGGGGTGAAGAGATGACGGACAATGATGTTCAATTAATCTAGAACAAATGTGTGAAGGTATCGTGTTAAACACATCCAGAAGCTTGTGTCTAGGAAGAAGAAGAAGATCTACAGTCAATATAAATCTGTAACCAAAATCTCTGTAACAATAACCGTTTAGTCTCTGTGTGATCTCACGCTTTGGCACTTTAAAACATCTTTGGGATCACCATGGTAAATTTTTCCCAGAGTAATCCAAAAATTCCCCGTGGTCCTTCACAGTCAGTCTGGAAATAACAGACAGCATGGATGGAATGCTCTCATCTGGACTCAGAGGAGCCTGGAGGAGATTAAAAATATGATAATTATCATTAAGATGACCATTAAAAAAAAAAAAACATTCATACAATAAAAAAGTCAGCCTGTTAAACATAACTGTCCATAAGAATACTGTATAAATAAATCAGTCAATGAAAGCTATTAAAGGGGCATTCCAGCCTAAAACTAGAGTTTAATATGTTGTTTGTTGTGTTATGTAGTGCAGTACTGTGTCCCTCAGCTTAGAGGTGGGCAATATGTAGATATTTTATTGTTATTGTGATGAACATCACTATTATCATGATACACGTTTCAATAAAAAGGGAACATAATTAATGTATTACAAAACCGTCTTTAAGGATTGTGATATGATATTTTTGCCATATTGGTGACCCCTCCCTGGCAGAATTCACAATTATATGTCATATATATAAAATATGTCATATTTTTGTTCTTTAGTGTTCTCTCACTACAATACCCAGCATGCCTTACATAAATATATCAAATAGCTGTTGTCTGAAGAAAACCTCATATCTCCATTTTTTGACGTTTTTCAGTTTTTGACATAATTTGAAAATGCCTGTTGTCCTTTACATTGTCTGTAAATTTCATGATGAATGGACCAAAAGAAACGGCCCAAAATGACTTGGAAAAAAACTCTGGTTCCATTGACTTACATTAAAAGTAAAGTATGTTTTTTCCTTTTCCTGTAAAGTTACCATTTTGAAGAGACGAGGTTTTCTCCTGACAACAGTGATATGCTGCCTTTAAGTTGCATCAGAAATATCGTATTTACGAGATGGAGGCACATGAACGGTACCACAATGCTGTATCTACTAGTGGGAAGCTCAGATTTTTCAGTGAGCTCCGATTTTCCGATTTGGGGGTGTCAACAAAAAACCAATGATAGCCGCTGATAAACTGGCCATATTTCAGTTATTCATCAGCCACAACATTAACACTGCAGGCTGAAACCATCCACACATGGAAATACAGATATAATGTATAAACACTGACTCTCTTTAATAACAGAAAAATAAAAGCATTTCCACTTATTTCCAACCAAAACTACTTGAACACAAATTAAGTCATACTTACGACCTCCGAAGTCATAAGTAGGAACTTCCGAGGAGGACTAATGGGCAGCAATACAACCATTAGGAATCCCTGTGGTGTCAACCAGTCATGACTGTTAGCCTAGCCACCAAGCCATAGACTAAGAAATACAACCAAGCCAGCACTAGTGTCAATACTGACGTTAGCTGTCTGCCTTCCTTCTGCATTCGCCAGCTAACGAGAAAAACGAACATCCACCCCAAAGCAGCGTCATTTTTTAAAAGTTCATCAAAATACATCATCAGAAGAGGGTTTTAGTCTTTAAACCAGACAATCTCACTCGAGAGAACACTGCAGAACCACTGTATGAGGCGAGTGGGCAAGTTTGCAAACAGATGTAGTGATGGTTAAAGTTTTAATTTTGGCTGGAGTGCTCCTTTAATAACAATTCTTTACAAAAACAGTCTATTTACAACAGTTGTTATAGTCAAATCTTTCTGGTACAGATGTGTGTATGTGGTGTATGTGTGTGCTCACATCAGGGCCTCCCATATCAGTGCGAACCCAGCCGGGGTGAAGAGCAACACACAGGATCCCCTCTGGCTCCAGAGCAGACGCCAAACACCGTGTCACCATGTTCAGGCCAGACTTTACAGGAATAGTAAAAAAAATCTAATTTACACAGTTTTCCTCAACCAAACACCGACATACTGATCTGTAAAAATGGAGAAAATTTCGGAGAAATTTCACTTTGATGCTGCTACTGTTCAGCTCCATACTTTAGTTAGTTTGTATTGTTTAGTTTTGGAACTGTTTTTAGATAATGGAAATAAAAAGAATCTAATGATGTGCAAATCATGCAAACCCTACATTTAATTGAACGTAGTAGAAAGACGACATACCAAATGTTAAAACTGGGAAATTTCATTGTTTTTTGAAAAATATATGCCCGTTTTGAATTTGATGCCAGCAACATGTTTGAAAAAAGTTGGGATGGATTTAAAGGAGGGGTGGAGTTACAGGACTTGAACTGTACCACCAGGTGATCAGTGGGCTCTGACTGTACAGGCAGACCGTCTACTTGAATGTAGCCACCATGAGATCCACAATCAGCGCATCATTTTTAAACTGCGTCACTTTTTCAGCCATATATGACATATAGCATATGCTGATTGCAGCGACTTCGTTTCTCCAGAACTGGAGCCACTACAGCCACGGGTCTCTTCACTGCCAGAATATTTAATTTGAATATGAATTATGGGCTCATACAACCACTGAATCTTTTCATTGTATCTCTGCCTCATCCTTGCCTGAGCCACTAGACTTAGAGACTTTTGTGACCCTTTTTGCTGAGTGACTTTATTTCTAAAACAGCTACAAATCTCGTGAGGGGGAAAGTGAGAAATATAAATATTTTATAGGACGGTTGTAATTTATTCCCCTGCATGCTGACCATTTTCTTTATTGAGTGTTCCATGGTTTGCTAGCTTCACTCACTATGGTAGCTACTGTGTGATTTTCAGACACCGTTTACAGCGTTACTTAGTTAGTACCTAACTAAGTGTAGGCGGTCTACACCATTACAGAGCGGCAGTTTAAAAAAGATACTGTCCAAAATTACACTATTTTAAGAATATTAAACTCAGAAAGCAGAATAAATGTGATGTGACTGTTTTTCCTCTGGTTTTATATTAAGCTAATTTCATTTAATAGCCTATACAGGGAATCTTAACTTGATATATTAGTTAATTTACTTACAATGACTGTTAATGCTGAATAGGCATTGTAGGTAAGTTACAGCCATCCTTAGTTTGTATAGATATTCACAACAGCATCTTCTTACACAAAGCTGAAGTCAGCTTTTTATTCGCCAGCTTCTTGCTCGAATTTTCCAGTTCTACCTTAAATGGTGCAGCTTGTGGGGCCTGAATGCAACTGCTGCACCATTTAAGGTGGAACAGGAAAAAATCGAGTAAGAAGCTGGTGAATAAAAATCTGACCTCAGCTTTGTCCGTCTTTCTGTGTTTTGGGGGGTTTATTGCACTTTTTGTGTGTATTAAGATTAGAAGTGATTCACACATTGATGGATTTGCTGATGTGTGTGAGATTACGTTTATACCGGACCTCAAGCTAAACTCCGGTGGATGCTTCCCTGCTGCTCTGGACAGCTAACAAGCACAATCACAGTTATTAAATAGAAATAAAAGCTACCGACAGCAGACCGTGCTACATAGACTAATCTATGCCTGAAGATTATAACAAAACAAATTTGGTGAAAATCGGTTGAGTAATAAGGAAGTTGTGGCTGATTTAATCCTGAGACTCATCATCTCTCAGTACAAGTGAATCTGTTCACAAGTGGATCTTGACCTCTCCAACATGGCGGATGCGCCGACGTA